TGTCACTAAAATTTAACAAAATTGTAGAAGAAAAATTAGCGAAGTGCGAGTTATGTTCTAGTTTTGGCAATTTATATCTTAAATAAACATGAGGAAGTGATTGTAATTATTTTTTGCTAATCCCCTTTTTAAGTTATTACTTGCGAGAGCCAGATACATTATCACAGGGTTAAATGTTATAGTTAAGTCAACAAAATAAATTATAGAAATCGATTTTATTATTTGCTTTCCAAATTATCCTGGTCAAATGGTTTGCCAGGAATTTAAATAGCTTCTATACAAACAAATTATGATTCAAGGTTGAAATTTCATAGTAACATTTTGTTGGAAAAAAAAAACTCTTAATTTAATAAAATTACGTATTATATGCATCACTAAGTTACTAAGTAGATAATTTTAGTTCTTTAAAAAAACAAAAAAGAAGAAGTATAAAACAGAAATCGAAAATTCATAGGAAGAGTCGGGTCACGAGAGTTGCACGTGACATAAGATTGGTCAATAGGTAATTAATAGCTGACTCTGACAGGAAGTTAATACAGGGAAACTCCCTCTCCATTCTCTCTAATTATAGTTTAATCCCAATTTTAATTAATCAATCTCTCTTTGCTTCTTCTCTAATCTCAAAATTCAAAGCTCTGTATCGTTTTTTCAAACAGATTCTCGAGCCTCCACGTTCTTCCTTTCTCGCCGGAGGAAGAACGTCGACGACGACGGAGATACGGCGGTGCGAAAATATTGATTGTCATTTATCAGTATTCGTTTTGTTTGCTTGCGTTCTGATTCTCTGTTTTCTTCTCTGTTTTTCCATCGTCTAGGGTTTTGGAATAATCAATGGGAAATTGCTTGGAATCGTGCTCAAAGAGGAACGATAATGAAGACGAAAACGTCGAGTCTTCAGTGAACTCGAAACCCTTTTCACGTAAGCTCAATTCTCATTCTTTGATTTTGTCATTTCTGATAATGAAAATCGATGAAGAGAACTTTGATGTTATACACAGACCCAAATCGTCTTAGATTCTCTAAATTTAGTGTTAGATCAAATCAAAGAAGGAAGATTTTAGGTGTTTTACGAGATGGTTTTATGTAGTTTATGGATTCAATCACTACTGTTTGATGATTCTCGAGTCTATGTTATGTAAGAATGTGGCACTGTTTTTGGTTCAGGGGATGGTAGTGATACTGAAAAATACTCGAATATTTCGTATCCATGGAGTTTAAAACCTCTGATTACAAGAAAATCTGAAGCTGCTAGCATTACTCTACCTGGACCGAACAAAGAAGGAGAAATAATGCATTCTCAATATTTGAAGTCTTTTATGTTGGAGGAGCTAAAGATTGCTACTGGAAATTTCTGTGAAGAGAGTCTAATCGGAGAAGGAGGGTTCGGGTTTGTTTATAAAGGTTGTGTTAATGGTGGACCTGGAATCGAACTCGCGGTTGCTGTAAAGAAGCTTAAAATTGAAGGGGTTCAAGGACACAAGGAGTGGTTGGTAAGTTTCTTTCTTTTTCAATCATTTTTTGTGATGTTTTGTTTTTTTAACACTTGAGGCTATACTCTATTGAATGGTTTTTATCCAAAAGAGGGAAGTGAATTATCTCGGGAGATTGCGTCATCCGAATCTAGTGAAATTGATTGGATACTCGTTGGAAGACGAACAACGTCTTTTGGTTTACGAGTATATGCCTAATGGAAGCTTGGAGAATCATTTGTTTGAAAGTAAGTAAAAGAAACTTTGTTAAATCCAACACTTGTGTTGTTATGTCTCTGGATTGCTAAATTTGTTCTGATTCTAGGGGGTTCCAATGTGCTCTCTTGGTCACTGCGTATGAAAGTTGCGATTGGTGCTGCTCGAGGGCTATGCTTTTTGCACGAAGCTAAAGACCAAATCATTTACAGAGACTTCAAACCAGCAAATATACTTCTCGATTCAGGGTTCAATGCTAAACTCTCAGACTTTGGATTAGCCAAAGAAGGTCCAACAGATGACCGTTCGCACGTTACAACCGAAGTCATTGGTACACAAGGCTACGCAGCTCCAGAATATCTAGCAACAGGTTTCTCTTTATATCATGACACAATTTTCAAATAGAACAACTTATAATGTAGCATCGGTAAATCTTCTTATAATGTAGAAGATTTAGAATAAGATTTTTTACTCTTTCCAAGCTTAACGAAGCATTTAATGTAACAACGGTTTGATTTTGAATACGATTTTACATTCAATTCAGAAAAAAAAACAAACAATTTTCAAATAGAACCCTGAATCATTTCAAATAGACACATAACATGATCATTTCTAAAACAGATTTTTGTTCTGTTGTTCTTTATCAGGCCATCTAACAACGAAATGCGACGTATACAGCTTCGGTGTAGTCTTGCTAGAGATTCTCTGTGGACGTAGAGCCATAGACAAAACCAAAGCTAGAGAAGAAGAAAACTTAGTGGAATGGGCAACACCTTACTTGCGAGACAAGCGAAAAGTGTTTCGGATAATGGACACAAGACTTGTGGGTCAATACCCTCAGAAAGCTGCGTTTATGATGTCTTTCTTGGCTTTACAATGCATCGGAGAGGTTAAGGTTAGACCAACGATGCTTGAGGTCTTGTCTCTTCTTGAGAAAGTTCCATTTCCAAGACATAGAAAGACTAGAAGCAAAGGTTTTGCCACTACTACTAACTCTTCTTCTTTGTCTTCAAAACGGTTTCTCAGAATCACTAATTAAGGACTAATTAAAAGTCTTTGTTTTCTTTTTATTATCTTATTTTGTTTTGGATCGTTAATCAAAACTTTTTTGTTACTTCATTGATAACTTTTTTTAATTTAATTAGGAAATGATAAGAGATAAAAAAAAAAAACACACACGATCTATAATAAAGTTTTAAACTTACGTTACATTTTGTATCTTAATTGAGTACATAATGTTCGGTTATTGGCTATAAATTATACACAATGATCATGATCATCGTCACGTGTATGTGTATGTACTCATACATGTGTGTAATATTTGTATGTGCTACTTTTACTCGAAGAGATTGCATGCATGTATGCATGGAGAGACGAAAAGAGAAGTCTAATCCAAACCTAAAACGCCCCTATTATTACCCACTAATTAACATTAATCATATCTCTCGTAACTCCAAATTTAACAGAGCAATCAATTCGCCGTCAATACCCCACTTCCTCTAATACATTCATCATCACATTTCACTTT